TTGCTTGGCCAGGACCCCAGGGCGCATCTCGGCCAGCCGCACGCGCGCTGCGCGTCCCCCTCGCCCCCAGGTGAGGAGCAGGCAGTTGCTGGGTCGGGCGGCTCAGCGCGGCGGGAAGGCGCGAGAAGCCGCAGCCGCCACCGAGGACAGCTTGGGCGCTGTCTGGTGGGGCGCAGAGGGCACGTGTGCGCCGGTGTGTACGCGGGGGAGCGGGTGTGTGCGTGCGGCTCTCCCGAGGGCGGCCCAGGCGGGCCGACCCCGTGGATTTATATGGGAAGGGGATCCCGCTGGTCCGGGACTCCCGGGGGGACCGCGCAGGGAATCCCCGCGCCGCCGAGCGCCCTCCCGCCCTCGCGCTCGGTGCGCGCAGTCTGGTCCACCCGGGCAGTAGGGCCTCTGGCGGGCCACGCTCTCTCTGACCCCAAAGCCGTAACTTCTCACTGCTGCGGCCGCCCCCCACGTCCTCCACCTCGGCGCCTTAGGCAGACGAGGAGACCCAAAGTCCCAGCCTACCGAGCGCGTCGGGCACCCGGTGCCCCGCCCAAGGACTCCGCTGCCGAGTTTCCTACCCGCCTGGCCCCTGCGCTGGAGGCCGAGGAGAGGGCTTCCTCCACCACCACCCCCTCCCTGCCCGCCCCGCGTGCGGCCCGCGGCACTCACAGGTAGCTGCCGCTGGACAGGATGAGAAAGATCTGCGGGCAGTACACGGAGAGGAGCGCGCCGCGCGGCGACAGCAGGAGCATGGTGGGCCGGCGCTCCTGGAAGGGCTTGGCGGGCCCGGCGGGCAGGGCGCCTGGGCCAGCTGAGGCCGGGGTCTCCGCGGCCCTCCCCGAGGTGGGGCGGCGACACCAGGCGCTAGGGACCCGGGCGCGCGGGCCCCAGCGCAGTATTCGTCCGTGCCCCGCCGCCAGGGCCGAGCATCGCGCTGGGGCTGGGGCCGGGGCCGCGGCGGGCGCTGGGGCTGGAGTGTGGAGCGAGGGGACGGGCAGTGGGCAGCGGGTGCGCCTCGGCGGCTGTCTAGCCCTCCGTCCGTCGATCGGTCGGAACCGGCTCTGTCGCTCGCTCTGGCTCAAGTCTCCAAGTCTCTCGAGGCGCGCAGCTGCCATTGGACGGGCCGCCCCTACATCCGCCTCCTCTGCGGGCGGGTTTTTTAAAGGGGAGGCTGACCGGAGCGTGCGACAGGAGCCGCCCCCAGGGCTTGCCCAAGCTACCTTGGCCCCTGTCCCCCCACCTCCCCGCCCAACTTCAGCGAACCGCACAGCTCTGGCCTGCTCTGGAAGGTGCACCTGGGGGGAGGCACCGCCGCGTAACCGCGCGGGGGCGTGCGCTCCTCTTGGGGGGCTGTGCTCGGGTAGTCTGTTCTCGTGTTCGCATGCATGTGCCTGCACGTGCCTGTGTGTGCCCGCGGGAGCGTGGGCGCGTCTGTGAGGACGCAGGTGTGTGCGCACAGATGCACTGTGTGTGCTGCCCCTTCGGCTGCGCGCGCCCCTGGGTTTGGTTAGGCTGGCTGTTGAGTCAAACACTCTCAACCTAACCAACCAGGCCCAGCCAGGCAGGGTTCACCTGTGCACATGCGCACTGGTGTCTCTGTAGGGTCCTGCCTCAGTGCCTTTGGAGAGGCAGTGAGAAGGCACCCCTAATTGGTTCACAGAGGCCCCCAACTTTGGCTTCCCCGTCTCACTTCATTTGCTGTCCTTTGAGGGCTCGGTTGGGATAGGTGTAGGGAGGAGCAGCTTCACAAGGACACACTTCCTAAACAATCCTTCTTCTTCCAGTGATTTTTTTTTTTAAAGGCCAGAAACCCACCTCCTATTTTGAGGTTTTGAGTCCCACTTCTTGTTGTCTGCCAAGCCTGGCTATATATGAATGATCTTCCAGATACAGTGTACACCCTGTCAGCTGGGGCGAAAGCACAAGGCAGGGATGATGACAAGAGAGGTCTGTGCAGATATGGCCAGTGGTCCAGGGGTGGGGCATTTCCCACCTTCTAGACCTGGCATGCAGATTCATGCCCAGCATCCAGAAGCAGGGGGCTGCCCCCTTCACCTTCATCCCACCGGATCCCTCTGCCTCTCCCAGGGTAGGAATGGAGCAGGGCCGATCCTGGGACTTTGTAACCCCATTCCAGTGGACAGAGGATGCCCGGATTCCAAGGGCTTGTCCCCGCCCTGGCTTGGCCTCCCTGAGGGCTGCAGCCTGGAGGCTGTTCAGTCCAAAAGTGAGGAACTGTGACTCCCCAAAGCCATCTGTTTTGAAATTGCTCAAAATCCAAGGCAAACCGACTCTTGAGGCCCTGATCCCCAAAGGGATTGTGAGGCCGGAGTTCTCCATCCCTGCTGGTCTGGGAGCTTCCCCCAGGGGCTACATGTCTGTGTGGTGGCTGCGTGTGCACGAGTGGGGGAGGGTCCCCATGCACATTCATAAACGTACACACACAGGTGTGGGTTGGGGGGAGGGCATGATCATGGAATATCCCCCCAGGGCATGCAATCTCTGACGTTTGCTTGGAACGTCTATGGCCCCAAAACCCACTACCTGGAGGAGTCCCCAGGGTGCTGATACTGGGGTCATTAATAGTGAGGAAAGCTTGGCTGTGCTCACAGGTGTTTATTGGGCCCCCCTCCCCCCAGGGTGCAGGCACCCAGGACGAATCTTCACAGTACCCGGTGAAGGACGTGCTACTGTGATCCCACTTCTCAGATGAGGGAGGCAAACTAAGAGATTAAAGCCTCCAGCCAAAGCCACCAATGAGGAGTGAGGGGGAGAAATGAACCCCAAACCTCATCTTTACTGCACTGGACTCCCAAGTCACTAACCCCTCGGGTCACATCTGGGCCCAGCTCCCCCCTCCTCCCTGCCTTGTGTGGCCAAGATGGCTTGTAAAGAAAGCAAGACCCCTGCTCCAAGGTGGGCAGGCAGGTAGCGGCCGAGGCTGAGCCCCGTCCCCTTAGCAGATCCCATGGTGGCTCCCTGGCTTTCCCGGATGTGGTTCCACAAGGTGTTCGGAGACTAGGTTTTCTCCTCTCCCCCCAGGAGTGTGTGTTTTAGGGGGCACAGCGGGGACGGGGGGAGCTTCCCACACCAGGACTCCTGAGTGGAGGCAGAAGACAGCACCTGGCTCTCTTGCCCTCTCCCAGAGAGGCAGGCACACAGGCCAGGTCTCACTCACTGATCTCTCTCTACTCAGACATGGGCCACCACCCTGTTTAGGATGGCCAGAGCCACGGTCCCATTTACAGAGGGGAGAGGGAAGCTGCCTTGTTTCCGCAGGTTGGTAGGTCCATCATGTAGGCCTCTGAGCCCTGCAGCCAGCCCTGGGAGCCCAGGTTGGGCACCACCTCAAGCTCCTTTTGCTGCCTGGGGTGGGGAGGGAAAAGTCATAGAGCACTTCCCACAAGCTGGGGGGGCCGGGTGGGGGGTGTTCTTTTGGATGACTCCTGTTGAGAAACTGGTGCTGGTGCTAGGAGGAGAGGTCAGTGGTGGAGGCCGGAGCCAGTCCCAGCTCTGCCTCTTACTCTCGGGGACAAGTGACTTGGCCTCCCTTGCTCAGTTTCCTGATCCTTAAAACGCGGACCTAAATCTAGGATGGCCAGGAGCAGACAAAGCCTTAGACCAGAGAGAGCCTCATTAGGGGCTGCCCATTACTTTGGGGGGTACAGCGAGAGGAACTGCAGGGGCTGCTGGAGATCCAAAACAGTGCGTCCCTCCCAACCCCCACCCCCTGGCGGACTCAGTGCAGGCACCCTCACCTCCACAGACAAACACCCAGGGACACAGCCTACACAGACCCACAATAAACAGAACCACCAGCAGCGGTAGGCATGCCAGCCCAGGCCTGCAGCACTGAGGCTAGGACAGGGTCTTTCAGCCCTGCCTTTGCAGCCCCCGGCCTCAGTTTCCCCATCTATAAAATGGCGGAGGGGGCGACAGAAGGACCGGCAATAGACGAGATGATTATCAGGTGGTGCTTCTACCTCTCAGCCTGGGAAGCCGCGTCTCCGCCTCCCGCCGGGCTGTTTGCCGGCTCTGCTCTGGCCAGGGGCCGGCCTGCCTCCTGGCCGCCGGCGGCGCACAGTAGGGGCGCAAGGCGCGGCAGGGCCCGCGGCCGTGGGCGCCCCCGAGCGACGTGCACCGCACCCCCTCACGGTCACATCGCTCCCCCCACCCCCACTTTGAGCAAGGCCGAGACAGATTCTGTCTAAAGGAGATCGCAGCTCAACAGGTAAGGACTCGGCTGGGTTCAGGAATGTGGAAATACGACTCGGAGCAGCTACTGCTGCGAGCAGCTAGCGCGGCCCGCCGGGCGCCCGCCCGCCCGCCCGGCCGGCCGCGCGAGGGGGAGCGCAGCGAGAGGGGGCCGGGCCGAGGGCCCAGGGCGGGCGGGGGCGCGGGCCCCGGACCGAGCCCGGGGCGGCCGGGCCCGCCGCGCGGCCCATCCCGAGCCAGCCGGACGAGTTGTCAAGGCGATTTCAACACGTCCGGGTGATGGATAGGGTCGAAGGGCCCAGGCAGGTGCCCCGGCCTGCAGGCTCGCTGCCGGGGTGCTCGCCCCCCCCGCCCGCTCAGGTCTTCCCGGCCGCCCGACGCCCCCGGCTCCTGGCCCCGGCGCGCCCTCCAGACGGCGAGCGCTCGGCCCGGGCTCGGCGCCCAGCGCAGCCCGGGGGAGGGAAGGCGCGTCCCACCCCCAGGGCCTGGAGCCCAAACAGGTGAAAGTACGCGCTGGGCACGCTCGCCGCTACCCGCGAGCCTGGCCGCCGCCGTCTGCGCGCCCTGCACTCCTTCCACCAGCCCTGGACTCGGCGCACTTCGGGAGTACGTTCGTGGGGCTTGGGGGCGTCTCTGCTGGGCCGGGGCGAGGGTCCGACACACAGGCCAGCCCCGGATCCCCAAGAGCCGCCTGTGCCCCCTCAGGCCCCACGTCTCTGCTGCGACCCTCTGGAACCGGTTCCTCCCGGCTGCCCCTACCCGGGGCTGCGGCCCCTGCCCACGGGGATACTCACCCGAGCTTCACGTAGAGGACGCCAAAGCAGAGAAACACGTAGAAAATCCACTTGCGAAAGTTTCTGTGCATGATCCAGGGAGGGGGGCTGCGCCATAGACAGCGGCGGCCGGAGGGGACGCGCGGGCCGGGTGGGGAACTGGCAAGGGCAGGGGGCTTCGGTGGACCGCTCTCAGCCAGCGCTGCGGCTCGGGCGGCCGGCGACGCGCGGGCACTCGGCGCGCGCTGCCACCATGGTGAGCCCGGGGCGCCGCCGCCGCCGCCGCCGCCGCGTGCGCCTGGGTAGTGACCTGGGCCGGGAACCGCGACCTCGGAGCTGGGCTGAGAGATCGCTGGGCACGACGAGCGCCGGCGGGGGCCGGGCCGGAGCACTGCAGGCGGGCGGGCGGGCGCTGCCTCCACTGGGCGCAGCCGCCTGGGGCCGTGCGCGCCTCGCCGAGCGCCGCGGCGGCCAATGTGTCCGCACTTGTCCGCCTCCCCAGGTGACTCGCGGCCCCGGCAAGCGAGCTGCGAGAGAACGAGCGCGCCCCAGGTAGGAGGATCCGCCTCCCGCCCGCCCTCCTCGCTCGCCGCGCGCTCTCTCTCCCTCGCTCCCGGGCTCTCCCCTCCCTTTTCTCCTCCCTCCCCCGCGACACACAAACACATCCACCCCCCCCCCCACACACACACACCCCTGCCCAGGCCCGCTTCCTTCCGATCGGCCTCCTGGGACTGGTCAGGGGGAGGGAGATTGGGTGCGCGGAGTTGGGGGGGCGGCCCGCAGGGGAGGGTGCGTCTCTGAAGAGACACCTGCGGTGGGGCTGGCCGCTCCTCTACGCCTGCAAGGGTGGGGGTGGGGTGCAGGAGAACGTCCCGTAGAGGTGGTGGTGGCCACTGGGCTTCCAGTCTCTAGTGGGGGTGGGGGTGGCAGGGCGGAGACCACCCACCCCCATAGCCATTCTTGGCTCGCTTCCCCTCCCCCCAGCAATTATACGCTTGGGGTCCTCCTGGGCCACACCCTTAACCCAAGTATCGCTGCCTCCCTTGCAGACATGGATCAGAGCCCTCCCCCAGCACCCAGGGTCACCCCCACCTGTGCCAGAAAGACTACCTCAGAGGGGACAGGGAAGGGACAGACAGGCCTGGCCTGATGCAGGCGGATGGCTCGCATGCCGCCCTGCCGAAGCGTTTGGACTAAGCACCATGATGGGGACGGATAGGAGGATGTTGAGGGGCCCAATTGGCTTTGGGAGAGGCTCCTCGCCCCCAGGGGTTCCCTGCTTCGCCTCTTCCACTGCCTCTGCTCCGTCTCCTCTGCAGTGCCGGGCTCAGTGTTCACGTTAAGAGCCCAGAGCACGAGGTCTACCCGGCCGCGGTGCCTCGCACACCCAGAGCGGTCCAGTTTGGCACAGCCCCAGGAAGCTCTGTCTGTCCTGAGGGGCAGGCCGGTGACCCGCCGCCTTAACAGCCATCCTGGCCAGGATCCTCTGCTGTTCCGCGGGTTCACAGCCCTGAACGCCCTCAAGCGTGCCACTCTTGGGCGAGGGGATGGAATGGGGAAGCGCTTAATTGCCGAGGACCAGCCAGACCCGAGACTCGCTGGGGAAGGGTAGGGTGGGGGCAGTTGTTTCGAGCCACCCTGGGTCCCACCTAGCCAAGCCGGGGCGGGAGGACTCTAGCTCAGAACCCACCTACCCGCACCCCTGCAGTCCTGCTCAACTAAGTGCCCCATTCCCTCTTAATCCTTTTCAATTCCCTAAACCTTTGCCAGGACCGCCGCGCAGGCCATTCCTTGGCCCCTGGATCCGAGGCCCGGTGGTGCCCGGTGGTGCCGCTGTACCGGGCCGGGTGGATGGGGAGGGTTCCCAGATGAAAAGGGCGTTGGAAAGTAACCACAGGCAGGGAAATGGAGGCACAGAGAGACGCGAAGGGATCGTAGCAGCCTCACTCACAGTGCGGCCTGAGCCCCAGCGCCCCGGACGTCCCGTTCAGTGAGAATGGGAAACTGAGCGCTGGAGCCGGAGGGTAGGCGCGGAGCCCCACGTCGCCGGCCTGCGGCCGGAGCGGGGCCGCTGGGGGTGGGGAGCCGCGGGAGGAGCTGCGCGCGCGGGCGGATGCTGCCACCCGGCGGCGACACCGCGGACGCTCGGACACGGGCCGCGGGCACTGCGGGGCCGGGGTGTCGCGGGCCTCCGGCCCACGCTGGCTGCCGGGCTGCGAAGTGAGGAGTGTCCCCGACCCTATTCTCACAGAGTCGGGGGACCACCCCGCGTCCCCACAGCCGCCAACCCCAGGCTCAGTGTCCGTTCATGGGGCGAATCCTCAGGAGCTGTGGGGCGGTGGTGGGGCTTCCCAGCTCAGGTCGGGGCGACCACGCCGGAACCCCCGGCCCCGCGGAGCCCCCGCCGCCCACCCCAATCCGATCCCGAACCGGAGGTTGGGTTGGCTCCGGAAGCAGCCGGGCAGGGTGGGGCGGGGAGAAGGGAGGGTTAAGGCGGACGAGCGGGCAGGACGCCTGGGTTCGTTCTTGTTCTCAACCTGTCTCTGTGCCTCAGTTTTCCCGGGTGGACGGGACGTAAAGCAGCGCCTTTCCAGATGCAGAGGGACGGTAGCGCAGCGTCGTGCTGCCCCCTGCTGGCCGCGGCGGGAGGCGGCGCCGGGGACAAAGGTAGGCGGAGCAGGGCTGAGTTCAAGACCTATAAGTCGCTCCCTCCACAGTGTGTGATTTCTCCTCGGTGTCTTCAGGGGAGTCTCTGAATGGCTTCAAGATTGGGAGAAATCTGGGATGGTAAGAGCTCTATGATTCCCCTTCCTCTGTGTGTGTGTGTGTGTGTAGATAGGTGCACACACTAACACACATACCAAACTAGTTCCTGCCCCAGGGCTTTTGCACTGACTGTCCCTTCTAGTGCGGTGCTCTTCCCCTGGTTCTGTGTGACCCCAGCGTAAATATCGCACATCGCAGGGGCCCACTCATTCCTCCTCCCAAACATATTCACTGGTATTCTCTATCCTAACAATCTACTGTTCTCTTTGTGACAGAGGACAATATGCCATTACTTGTTCCCTGTCTACCACCAGCCTGTAAGCTCTATGGAGACCATCTTCACATCTGCTTTGGTCTTCGCTCACTTAAGTGCTCAATAAGCAATTGTCAGATGAACAAATGATTTTCCAGAAGGCAGCCGGCATCCATGACCCATGATGTTACAAGCCATGGAGAGCAGGGACCTGACATTGACTCCTTTAAACCTTGCGATCGAGCTCAAGCACCGTCTCCAGAATCGACCACACCCCCTATTGCTGCCTTTCTCCTGCCTTGCTCTTGCGTCTTGTTACTGGCTTCACTGACAAGTGTTTTCTGAACCCCCACAACTCAGGTTACACTGAGTGTGTGTTGGGCAGTCTAGATAAGGAGCAGATGCCCGACTACAGGACCTCACGCGTCCTTGTGCAACGGTGCTATCAGACTCATTGCACAAAATGAGGAACTGAGGTAGAGAAGGAAGTGGTTGGCCAAGGTCACACCAGTTGGTGAAGCTGGGACTCGAACCCAGGCCCGTCAGGCCCAGAGCTTGGGCTCCTTCCATTGCACATCTCAACCGCCAGGGAGACTTGGCCTGTGCCTCATGGAGTGGAAGATATGGGGCAAAGCACCCCCATCCTGATGCTGGGAGTCCCCAGTTCGATGGGGGAGCACAATGTGGCGCGAGGCCAGAGGACAGCAGGTCCTGAGGAAGGTACCAGCAGCACTGGGCAAACCCCTGGGGTAGTGAGGTGCATGAGAAGGGCCTGGAAAGGAGTGGATTTGTGGTAACAGAATTCCTAATGGCCCCCCAAAATGTCCCGCCCTAATCCCCAGGACCGTGAATATGACAAGATAGCATGCCCATTCCCGTACATGGCAAAGGTGTGACGAGGCTACGAATCAGTTGACTTTTAGTCTGTCAAAAGGGATCATCCCGCTGTACCTGACCTAATCCCACCCACCATGATAAGCAGGGAATATTCTCGTGGCCTCGTGGCAAGGAATTCGGATGGCTTCTAGGAGCTCAGAGCAGCCCCCCGGCTGACAGCTGCAAGGGACCAGGGACCTCAGCCACCAGCTAAGCCCCTGCCTTGCCCACATGTGGGTTTGCACATTGTGAGACCCGAAGCAGAGAACCAGCCACACCTTGCCTGGCTTCTGAGCACAGAACTTTGGTGTAACAAACGCATGTTGTTTTAAGGTACTACATTTGCGGCAATCGGCCACACGGCAATATGAAACGAATACAGTATGATATGGACATGCAGAGAGAGGGAAGCAGAAATCCAAATGATCGCACAGTCTGAACAAGGGCTGCTGGGTGCTGGGAGGTCGTGAAGCAGAGTAAAAGATGAAGCCAGGAGGAGACAGGCGCTCAGACACAGAGAGGCCAGAATGCCAGGCTGAGGAGCATGGACTCAATTTCATGGGCACTGGGGAGCTATTGAAGATTCATGAGGGAGAGAGGCCCACCTGAAGTGGGCCCTGAATGCAGTGTCCCAAGCTTGCCTGACCAGCCAACCCCAACCCCTGAATCCAGACCTACTTCTGCAGGATGTCCTGGGGAAGGGGCTGGGGATCTTCATGATGAGTAAACACTCAGGTTGCTCTGGAGATCAGCACATTTGGGAAATGCTCCCATTGGACAAATGTACAAACAGTTGAAAATTCTGAGTCCATATCCCAGATCTTCTCTGTGCACAAGGTTTTCCAAAGCCCCTGTCAGGGGGTAGGGGAGAGTTGTGGGGAGGAGCCCCCCCTTTGTGGGAGGGGCAGAGCACCCTCTGGTGAGTGGGAACCAGAGCCCACCTGGGAGAAGAGGGTGTGGGAGACAGATGAGCTCCAGCAGAAGCCCAAGAGAGCCTTCCGGGGAGTCCTCCTGACTGCCCCCTGTGTGCTGCCAAGGGCTCCCCTGGAAAAGGGCAGACAGAGCTTCCCCCTTTCCCAGGGTGAGAATGAGGACCCCACTGCCCACCCAGAGCTTGACGAGATTGCATGGGGTGCCCAGAAGCCCAGAGAACTAGAAGGAGTGAGCACCTGGAGCCAGCATCTGTTCACCAAGAAT